CAACTCTAATAATAAAAATTAGATAATTCATATCAGAAATATTTCATCACTCTTCTTTTTGTATTTAATGATGAATAGTGTGACGCGTCATACTGTATATGACATGCAATGTTAGATCTGATTTCAGAAAGGTATTTTGGTCACAAATTTGTTTTTCTTAACTATAGAGGCTAATTAATTATGAGAGTGTCTACCAATTTATATTTTGAGTTATAATAGGATATTAATGTACATTGACCCTAGATAAAATAACATATTTTTAGATGACTTGCATTTTTTAAATTTTTTTAACTTGCAATTTTATGTAAAATTTTAAAAGTAACACCTATAATGTTTTTAGAAAACAAGCACAACGAAAGAAAATATTTTTAGAATATTAAATAATTCTATATAATTTACAAGTATATAATTTCATTCTTCTGAAATTTATATATAAGTTTTTTAATACAACTTTCGTAAATGTTTTTGAAATTCTACAACTTAACCCAAGATTTCCATTATTGGGCTTCATTGCCAATGCCAACTATAGCCCATATAATAATTTTTGGCCCAGTTTAATTGATATATCATTTGTTTTATTTTCTTCCAAAATTGAATAATAAAGATTTAAAGACAAACAAAATATAAAAAAATTAGTTGGTAAAAGAAAAAAAAGACAAAAAAACATTAATTTCTTCAATTTCTCTGTACGTTGCTCTCTCATCTTCTTCACACTTCAAACCCAAAATTTTCGAAATTACAAAATCCCGCCTTCGTCTCCTTCCATAAACCCTAACGACGGTGTATCGGACCACTATCGCCGTCTCCGGAAACTAGACAGGTTTTTCTCAACATCTCCAATCGTCGCTCTGCGTGACCTAATCCTCCGTCTCAATCGGTACTTTCTCTATCATCAATTTCAAATCTTGTATGGGTTTCATGGATGTTATCAGATTTTGCTTCTCTCTTCCTCACTTTTCTTTAGTAATCTGGAAAATTTTGTTTGCAGAGCCTAAAATCTAGGTACCAATTTGGTAATGGTTTTTTTCATGTTTTTGTGATTCTCCAGATCCAGATTATTGCAAATCCAACATTTTATAGACCAAATTCGACTTCATAAGCTAGAGAAATGGAAGGTTATATAACCAGAAGAGATGATTTTGTTAGAGGAACAGAAAATGATTGTGAACTGGATCTACTCTTCCATGTTCATTCTGATATCTCCTCTCTTCTCCATCAGGTGCTTGCTCTACTCTTGAATCCTTGTTGCTTTGTCTGATTCAACTACTTGTTTGGTATTGGTTAAGGAACCATGTTTTGTTTCACTCTTCCATGTTTTGTGTCAATCGTTTAGGCTGTCTTATGAGTTATTATGACTAATGAGTTTTGGAGTTTCAGATTGATGAGCTCGTTGTGAAAGCAGCAAAGCTTAAGACTATGAGCAAACAAGGGACAAGTGAAGTTGAATCTTTCGGATCTGTCTTGTCCGATATGCTTTCCTCGCTAAAGGTTGCATTCCTTTTTAACCTCTCTGTGCTTTGTTTCCTTCTAGTGTTTTAGATTTAGATCTGTAATCTGTTTTAATATATGCAGCCGTGGTTTCCTCGATTGCAAAAAGCAATAACCGATTTTCGACCAAAGGATCAGGAAGAACAGTCTTTGATGAGCACTAGCAGTTTGTGCCTAAACA